CCGTCAAATTTTATTTTAATAGTTGTAAAAAGTATATATTTGTTGTTATGTATCTAATTTTTTTTATCAAATTATCTTTTATTATTTTTAAAATTAACTGTAAATATATTATCAAAGAGTAGACTTTTTGGAGAAGTCTACTCGAGAAGTCTACTTAACTTCTCGAGTAGACTTCTCTGGGATAAAATAGTAATTGAGGTTGGCATTTTTTTGTTTGGTCATAAGGGTTAAAGTTGTAATTTCACTACTCCTGTGAGTTATTTTTATCAAACATGCAATAGGGGGTCTAGTTTTGTATTTCAACTCAAGTTTTGAGTCATATTCAGCAATTCCCCCTATATTGTATTTTATATTACAAAACTAGAAAAGAAAAAAAAAACTATAGTTAAAACTTCATTCCAAAAAAACAATTTTAATTCATAAATGATTTATAAAAAAAATAAAATAAAAACAGTAAAAAAAATTATGTTAACAAAAAAAAATAGTATTATTTACATTTTTTGCAAAATCATTGATTAAACTCACATAATCGAGTTTTTCAATCATACCTATCTTAATCAATAAGTAACTAATTCATTTTGTTTCTTTTCTGATACCGCACATCACAAATAATTTTTAATTAGGTCCAATACCAAAATAGTCAATAAATGCAAAAAGCAATTTAGGTGTTTGTATATCAATCCTTCATTTTTTTCTGGTATTAATATTTGGTATTGATACTCATGTTTATATAACAATCTTTCATTTTCGAAATTTAATTAATAAACATAATACTAAACTTAATTAGTATGTTTATTAATAAAAACCCATAAAATTGCTAACAAAAACTTAATAAACATTACTATTATAAGAAAATTAAAATTTTATTTATATATTATCACATTAATAGAGAACTAATCCTAATAAATAAAATATTTAAAGAAAATTTCTCTAAATAACCAATCTTAATAATGAACATATTTTAAGATGATGCCTTAAAATATTGCTGTCCTAATCCTTTGCTTGGATGGTTTAGCCTATGGGTCGGTCCTGCTTTGCAAGGGTACGTAGGCAGTCTTTCTTGAAGGTCCAGCTATAACTTGATAAAAACTTCAAGTAGTTCATATTTTCGATGACCTAATCTCCAAGCTCCAATTAGATATCCTCCAAAATCCAAACCGTAAATCGTTTAAACCTAGTGGTAATTTTCTGGTTCAACAGTTTGCACTACAAGAAAACATGCTTATTTCTGACAACGTTTCTGACAACAAATCATCCGTCGGAAATTTCCGACGATATAACGACGATTTTTTGATGAAAAGAAATCCGTTGGAAATTGGTCAGAAATTTTTGACGGAACTATATCTGTCGGAAATTCGTGAGATATTTCCGACCCATTTCCGAAGAAATAAATCCGTTATGGATTTCCGACAAATTTCCAACGAATTGTCGACGAAATTAATCCGTTATGGATTTCCGACGGATTTCCAACGAATATTGTTGCCGTTTATAGCCGTTAAATATTAATAATATCCGTCGGAAATCTCTTAAAAATCCGTCGAAAATGCGTGCCCAGTTTCTTTATAAATACAACTCCACTTCTCTCACTTAGTACCACAATTAAAAAAAAAACTCATCTTTAGTTATGTCTTCTTCGGATCCTTATAAGTATTTCCGATCATGGATGGACAAGCCTCATCAAATTCCAACGACGGGTCTACTTACGGAAGAGTACAAAGAAGGTCTGCAACAATTCATAGAATTTGCGAGTGCACAGCCGAGAGCCAAAAAGTCCGGTAAAATTTACTGCCCTTGTAGTAATTGTCGGAATCGTAGATACCTCTTAATAAGTGATGTATGGTCACACTTGTATTGCAATGGATTTGTGGTGGGTTACAAAATTTGGTACTATCATGGAGAAAATGATACAATGGTAGATTATGGTAGTACTAGTGAACAATATGCTGGGAATAGCTTAGAGGAACCTAGAACGGATCAAGTAGAAACTATAGGTCATGTTCAGATGGTGAATGATGCGTTTCGTGAAAGTATAGCATCGGTTGCTGAGTATGGAGATAGAGGTGAAGAACCTAACTTAGAAGCTCGGAGGTTCTTTGATATGTTAGATGCTGCTAAGAATCCGTTATATGATGGCTGTAGAAAGGGATATTCCCCTTTATCAGCTGCAACTAGGATGATGGGTATAAAGACAGATTTCAATTTGAGTGAGGAATGTGTGGATGCAATAGCTGATTTTGTGAAAGATATTTTGCCGGAAGATAATCTTGCACCAGCATCATACTATGCGATACAGAAACTTGTTGCTGGTCTTGGATTGCCGTATCAGATGATAGATGTATGCATTGACAACTGTATGATCTATTGGAGAGAGGATTCAGACCGTTCGAAATGTAAATTCTGTCAAAAAGCTCGGTATAAGGAAACAAGTGGAAGAGTGCCAATCCCACATAAACGGATGTGGTATTTGCCGTTAACAGAGAGACTAAAGAGGTTATATCAATCAGAGCGCACAGCAGCGGCAATGAGATGGCATGCAGAGCATACAACAACGGATGGAGAAATAGCTCATCCCTCAGATGCGAAAGCGTGGAAGCATTTTCAGTCTGTTTATCCGAGTTTTGCATATGAGGCGAGAAATGTGTACTTTGGATTATGCACTGATGGTTTTAATCCTTTTGGGAAGCATGGGAGGCAATATTCGTTGTGGCCAATAATTGTAACACCTTACAATTTACCCCCATCTTTGTGCATGAGAAGAGAGTTTCTGTTCCTTAGTATTCTCGTTCCTGGACCAGAGCATCCAAAGAGATCACTGGATGTGTTTCTTCAACCATTGATTTATGAGCTGCAAATGTTATGGGAGCATGGTGTTCAGGCTTTTGATGTTTCTTGTCATCAGAACTTCCTCATACGGTCGGTACTTATGTGGACTATTAGTGATTTCCCAGCATATGGAATGTTATCTGGATGGACGACGCATGGAAGGTTGGCATGTCCTTCTTGTCAAGATAACACACGTTGTTTAGAAAAAATTGTCGAGTATTTGATGGTCCACCTCCTGAGTTAGATGGACATTATGCGTTGACTCAGTTTAGAGATTATGGTGCAGAAAGGACTGTTGAATGCGGTGGTAATGGGCATTATCCTGTCAATGCTTGTGGAGACCAACATAATTGGCACAAGAGGAGTATTTTTTGGGATTTGCCTTATTGGAAGGATCATTTGTTGAGACACAATATTGATGTCATGCACATTAAGAAGAATTTTTTCGACAATATAATGAACACCGTTCTCAATGTCCAAGGGAAGACGAAGGACAATCTGAAGTCTAGATTGGACTTGCCAGAGTATTGTTCTCGTAAGACGCTATATGTATTAGCGAATGGGAAGGCTCCAGTCCCTGCATTTCGGTTAGATACACCTTCAAAGGCTGAGCTTTTTGACTGGATTGCCGAGAGCGTTAAATTTCCAGATGGATACGCTTCTAACCTTCGAAATTGCATTGATCGTGGAGAAGAGAAGTTTTCTGGGTTGAAGAGTCATGATTGCCATGTTATGATGCAACGCCTCCTTCCATTTGCTTTTGTCGGTCTTCTACCACGTAATGTCCATGAAGCAATTGCAGGTTCTTTTTATAAACTTTATTCTAGATTTTCTGCATATTAATTAATTAAATTTATAATATTTAAATATCTAATTTGATAATGTAAATTTTGCAGGGATTGGTTCATATTTTCGAGATTTATGCGCGCGATCTCTTACAGCAGATGGTATTCGAAACCTCGCAGATAGAATACCTGTAGTACTTTGCAACCTTGAGAAGATATTTCCACCTTCCTTCTTTGATGTTATGGAACATCTACTAATTCATCTACCTCGAGAAGCAGAACTTGGGGGGCCTGTTCAGTATCGTTGGATGTATCCTTTTGAGAGGTATATGTATCATCTAAAGAAGAAGGTGAAAAATTTAAGCAGAGTTGAGGGTTCTATTATCGCACAGAGCATCAATGAAGAAACTTCTAATTTTGCGGAGTTCTACTTTCCAACACAAGTTAAAACGAAGAGTCGAAGACCCCCTCGACATGATGACGGAGGCGAGAGACCATTATATCCGGTCTATGTTCCTAGTATCTTCTCTCAAATTGGAAGACTAAGTGGAAAAGGCAAGAAGCGGAAGCTTACAACCGAGGAGCGTAATCATTTGCATATGTATGTTCTCACGAACTGCGACGATGTTCACGAATATGAGAGGTATTAATAACCTAAACCTATTTAACTGCATGCTTAGTTTACCACATCATTTATAATTAACCTTTTAACGTGTGTTATTCACTTTAACAGGATATATATGGCTCAAATGCGTTATAATCATCCGCAAAAAACAGAGGAGGAGCTTACAGAGCTAAAACAACAAGAGTTTGGACGCTGGTTACAATATTATGTAAGTGTCTATCATTTAATCACATCAATAGTAATATATATATTATGTAAATGTTTAATTTAATACGACTGAAATATGCAGGTCAGGACAGAAGCGTCTCAAGGTCATGTATTTCCTACGTGGTTAGAAGAATTAATGCAATTTCCACTAAGTGTCGCCACATCACATATGATGTATTGCACCCGAGGTTATGCTTTTAAGATTTTTCAGGATGGTAGGCGCAGGCAGAATTCTGATTATGGTGTATCCACTCAGTCCGATGATCTTGTGTACTATGGTGTACTTCGAGAAATTTTGGAAGTTCACTACCCAGGAATGTTAGACCTGAGATGTGTATTATTTTTATGCGATTGGTACGACCCAGTGGATGGAAGTGGTGTGTGACACGACCAATTTGGTGTTACATCACTACACAGCAGAAGACGCCTCCAGAAATATGATCCATTTATCCTTGCTTCACAAGCAGATCAGGTTAATCTCTTTGTTTTGTTTGTAAATGTTACAATTAATTTCCTAACATATAGGACTTTGATATATAATTTTTTTTTTTATGGTGTAGGTATGTTACATTGCTTATCCTCGAGTGAAAAACAAGCAAGATCCATAGATTACAGTTACATCAATCAACCCAAGAGGAAAGGTTTATGGGATATCTGAACATGATCTGTTGCAACAAAACAGCAGTGGTTTAGCTTCCATAGATCATTCTCTCGAGGTTGACCTCGTGGTTGACTTCACCGAAGACGTTGACGATCAATTATTTGAAGACTCAGAGCAAGAAGTTGACGAATTTGAAGAAGAATCAGATACAGATTTATCGGATTTAACAGATTCTCAAGATGAAGAGTAGTTTTCTATTCGTTTTCCATAAAAAAGAAAACTTGTGTTAGATAATTTGATTTAATTTTTTCAGTAAGACATGTATGCATTTGAAAAAAACAATAAATTTTTAGACGCATTTAATTTAATAAATACGATTAAAATTTTTTAAAAATTTCAAGTACCAAACCCTGGTTATACCCTAAATTCGTCGGAAATCCGTAGGAAATTTCCGATGGATTTCCGATGACTTTACTGTAAATGTGTTTTAATCTTTGCGATTTTGAGTCGTTTTACATGTCTTACTGAAAAAAAAATGAGTTCAAGTGTTAAGTTAGTATATAGATGTGTTTAAGTGTTAGAATGTGTTAGTATATAGCAAATAATATGTTGTGGTAAAGTATAAGTCTAAACTTGTAAAAATTATAAATCAAACATAGCTAAATCTCATATATTTGTAAAATCAACATATTTTGTGAATGTAATATTACCAAAGATTAACAAATTTTAAGATTTTCAAGTACCAAACCCTGGTTATACCCTAAATCCGTCGGAAATCCGTAGGAAATTTCCAACAGATTTCCGACGACTTTACTGTAAATGTGTTTTAATCTTTGCGATTTTGAATCATTTTGCTGGGAATTCATACAATAATATACTAGAAGACATGGACAACTATTTAATCTTTTGAAATTTCAAGTGTTAAATTAGTATATAGATGTGTTTAAGTGTTAGAATGTGTTAGTATATAGCAAATAATATGTTATGGTAAAGTATAAGTCTAAACTTGTAAAAATCATAAATCAAACATAGCTAAATGTCATATATTTGTAAAATCAACATATTTTGTGAATGTAATATGTTTATTACCAATAGATTAACAAATTTTAAAATTTGCAAGTACAAAAATCCTGGTTATATCCTAAATCCGTCGGAAATCCGTAGAAAATTTCCAACGGCTAAAACCACGATCCGTGTGCTATGTTGGAATCTAATAGAAAAGGACAACAAAATCATATATGTCATATCTGTCAGAAATCCGTCGGAAACAAATTGGTTGTTCCGACGGATTATTGACGGATTCTCTCCGTCGAAAATTATTAAATATAATTGAAAACCCTTTCTCTTTCCCTTACCTTCTTCTCTCCCGACCCAACATCACTCTCTCTTCCGCGAACGGCCGCTGCCACAACTCATTGCTTCTCCAACAAATCTTGCCGTTTCTCTGCCTCCGCCGCAACACACGGCCGCCGCCGCTGCAACTCATTGCTTCTCCTTCTCTTTCCCATCTTTTTCCGTGAACGGCCGCCCCAGATCTCACTGTTTCTCCGGCAAATCTTGACGTTTTTCTGCCCATCACTGTCGTTTATTCTCGATTCATCAAAGCAGTAGCATGGATAACTCGTATGTTTTCATTTATTCTCTGATTTTGAAGTTTTTGATTTTGATTATCAATTTTTTCTTTGATTTTTAGTATATATATTGTTAAGTTGTTAGAAATATGAATTAGAATGATACATAATGTGGTGAATGTGATTATTAGAACTTGAGATTTATAGATTTCTAAGTATTTAAAAATTTCCTGTAGATGTTTTTGTTAAAATATGGAGAAATAAGTTTTTAATTTTGGTGATATAAGATTATAGAAATTATTGATTTTGAGAATTTAAAATTTTGTATAGATTTGATATTAGAATATTTGTTATTGTATTGTAAATTAAATTTTTTATTTATATATATGATTAATAAATGTATAAAAACTTATCTATAAACCTATTTTAAAATTTTAAAATATGTTATAATTTAGATTTTTTAATAACTTATAATATTAATAATTTTATGTTTTTGAAGGTGCGATAATACTCTAGGCCGTTCTAGCTCTCGCCGTCCATCCTGTAGTATGAGCAGTTGGAGTCCGAGCACCAAACGACTCGTGACGAGTTATGGAAAATGAAGGATATAATGGAAGCCAACTTTCCGGATTTGTTTAAGAAGTAGTTTGTTTAAAACAATATTTTTATTATCTTTTAATTTAAAATTTTAATTATAATTTCTTTTCAATATAGATTTTATTTATTTTAAATTATTTTTGTATTTTTTAAAAAAGTGTTTTATTTATTATTTCTCGTCGGGAATCAATCCGAAAACACCCAACAAATAGTACCGTCGCAAATTCATCGGAAAGGGTTCCGTGGGAAATCCGTCGGAAAAGGATCCGTCGGATTTATGTCAGAAAAAGATCAGTCGGAGTTTCGTCGGAAAAAGATCCGTTGGATTTCTGTCAGAAAACGATCCGTCGGATTTCCGTTGGAAATACATCCGTCATATTTCCGTCGGAAATTAAATCCGTCAGAAATGCATTGGAAAATTGTCTGAGGACTATCGTCGTCGAAACTTTGTCGGTTCACACTCATCGGTAATCCATCGGAAAGTTTATACGGATTACCGACGACTTGCTTTCGTCGGAAATTTAAGACGAATTTCCGACGACTTGCAACATTTCGACCACTTGTAACCGACAAACCATTTTTGTCGAAAATCCGTCGGAAATAGCTGTTTCCGACGGATTTTTGACAAAAATGGCCGTCAGTTTCATGCTTCTTTCTTGTAGTGTTGATTCCTTATGTTCAACGCATCAAGTTACTTCATGTTATGTATTCTCTCGAAAACATGTTCCACTAGGCTTAAATGGCTACAATTTAACCAATTACTTCTCTTTAAAAGTGACTGGATCAGGCTTAAACCATCACAAATTCAAAAATATCAATTTCTAATAATATTAACAGAAAATCAGAATTTACGAAATAAAAGTAGATATATTTTTATTTTGACAAACAAAAAAAATAATTTCATTCACAGTAAAACTAAAAAAAAAATCATGTGATTTTATATGATTATTTTCGAAACAAAAAGTAAGACAGAAAAGTTCAAGAACTGATGTCTAAATGCTTTCCTGTTGTGGTTTTTCCAACTAAGAGGCCACAGGTGTGAATTTCTCGCCTCTGTTGTTAGAAGAAAACATGATTGCCATAAAGTTGAGTAATAACAGTCATTCTTGTCTCTTTTTTTTATGGAAGTTGATCAAGTCTTACATCATGCGTGCTTGTTTTGTGCGAGGTAAATATTTATAAATTAAATCATAGGCCCTAATCCGTAAAATATGAATCCCTATTTCTAAATTCTTAATATAGTTTATCTTCTGTAATCCTAGAATCTAAAAGATAAAGCCTAGTAGTTTTGAAAATTAACTATCCCCTTTTTAATTTTTGCCAAATCTATATCCCATTAAACGGCCTAAAATCTCTTATAAGTGTCTTGCTTTATGAGAATTATTTAAGTCTTTGTATTTAGGTTTTTAGTGATTTTAATATCGCTCTGAGTTGCTAATTTTATTTTTGACCATTATAAACAAAATGGATACAATTTTGTTTCATGATTTTATTTTTAACCATTATAGACAAAATGGGTATTATATTTACACTTTTTGTCCCATATAACACTTCTACTTGGGACAGCAAAGACAGCGCCTAAAGCTGGTGTCATAGACAAATCCAAAGATTGAATACTGGTCTTTGAACGATTCTAGTACTAAGACTTTGGATACTTGTATCTAAAGGTATCGTAAGACATCTTCACCCAAGGTTGACTGCATAATTTGAGGAAATCTTTGGCTCTTTCCAAATTCTGTTTTGGGATTTTTGAGACCTTTCTCTTTGCTAACAATACACCTTTCCCAATAACTGTAGCACCTAAGTCTAACTCTTGCATCCAAACTCATTTTCTTTCTAATTACCCTTTTTCAGAATATTGAGCAATCAATTTATACCCACTCTACATTCATGAACTTGCCTCAACTTCACCACAAGATGAAATTCTCGTTTCTATAATAAATTCGCTTAGAGAGAACCACATAGGTTGTTCACCAAAAGCAAACCACAGTTCATTATTTGATGTGAGTATCCTTCTTTGGAGAAGATGATGAATAAGATATCTTGAAAATTGAATTCCACCTATTGCCATCTTTACTATTGATCCCTAAAATACTATTTCATGTGATTTATGGCTGCAGTAGCTTTATAAAGTTAAATAAAAACTGTTCTTATTATAAAACATGATTGGCATGAATTTGAGTAGTAAAAACCCTTTTTGTCATTTTTATGCAAGTTGATCAAGTATCATGCAAATGTGCTACGTGCGAGGTCAGAAGGAAACTTGTTTGTGCCTCCGCCAGCTTTTCAAAACGTCACTATTCACTTTATTCTATATCTTGTTTTAATTTTCTTAACAAGATATAATGTGAACTAATCTGAGGATTAAGTTAGATTCCAGTTTTTTAGTTGATGGCTTCGAGATCCATTGCGATATTTTTATGATTTTTCTCTAAATGATAAATAGATTTTATTTGTATCTGTTAGTATTTATGATAATTTCGATTTTTATTATTTCATTATATAAATTTTGAAATTGTTTATTGAAACTCGCTAGTCGCAATTGATTTTTTTAATGTGTTATCAATGATGTGAGTCCTACATTATTATCTATTTTCTCTATCTCGTGTAATGATGCTGTTGCCAATTTCAAACCATGGTTAAACAAAAGCTAACTACAAGTATGCACTTTAATACCTCAAGATTGTGAATACTAGATTACATGGAGACCTGCATATATCTACATTGAAAAGAAAACCAATGAATAAAAGTAAAAAAATTATGTCAATTATCACATCGTGGTTGAAGATACTTGAATTATCAATTCTATAGAATAGATTAGAGTTAAGGATTGTGTTTCGTAATACATGGACTAGTTATGTACAAACGGTCACGTCACTTCTTAGTTCTCAGGTCAGATGATTTGCGTACGAAACTTTAGAAACAATATTCATACACCTCAATCATAAACTCTAATCTAGGGTATTTCGTGTTCAGTAAGGAGGAAACTTGTCCCTCACCTCTGCGACATCAGTCCGATGATGTTTCTTTTAGAATATTATCTGGAGTATTTGTTTCTTATATCGAAGTATGTGTGAGATAGAAAATATGCACGTATTTTAACCTCAACAAAATGTGTCGTGCTTTTCTCTTATTCAAAATAACATCGTTTTGTGTTTCCATATTAAAACCACCAAACTAATGTCATTTTAAGACATACCGAGCATACCTTATTGCTAATGTGTCACCTATATGTCATCTGACGCATTGAGAGTTAATGGTTGACTAAACCACCATTTAGGTTAACACTGTTTTACGCACCAATTATCTAGATAGGGTAGGTAGTTTATTTGAATTTGGTTGTGTTTTAGGATAGTAAAAAGCACAACTCAATTATATAGCTATAAAAGGATACAACGTGAAATAATTAGAGGATTAAGTTACAATCGAATTGATTTTGTGGTTGATAACTTCCAATTTATTTTCTTCGTTCTTTAGTTGCTAAATATACTTCGTTTTCGTTCTGATTCGGAAAATTTCGAATTTGATTATTTGAGTTTATATACATAGAATTTTAGTTTGTTTATTGCGACTTGGCATTCTTTACTTTTACACTGTTGTAAAATATGTGAGTGAAGACAACACAGTGATATGTTGTTGCCGCTAAAACAATTTTCACTTTTCAATTCTCTTTCCCTTGGTTATAATGAAGCCTTTGCACCAAAAACTAGCCGAAAGTGGTGCAATAGAATACTAATCTCCAAGACGAATGTGAAATAAATGATGAGTTACTTCAAATCCTTGAGGACTACAGAGCTGAGAGGTATAGCTTTTTGCCCTCGTTAGCACTTGATTTTTTCACCTTAATTAGCTCAATTTCCATTTATACAATATGACTCTTAATGATTTCTATGGAATTGAATAATCTGATGGTATTTGTTTTCATGGTAGATAAAATTGATAGGAGTGGTGTCTTATAAAGATTGAAAGAACTCTTCAAAGGGAAACAAAAACTGTTTTTGGGTTTCAATCTATTCTTGCTAATTGGCTTCCAAATAAACCTTGAGGGTGGCCAAACTTCACCAAAGAAGCCTGATACGAAGTTAGAGGTAGCTATTAGCTTTGTCAACAAGGTCAAGGTAGAGATTTTGATTAATAATATCCTTTTTTTCTCTTTGCTACTTGCATATAACGTACGTATCATTTGGTTTTTTTCCTGCATGCAAGGCTTATGGACAATGATCGGTCATGCAATTCATTTTTAGACACCTTGAAATGTATCGAAAGAACAAAATGTCCATTACTGATGTCTATGAAAAGGTTCGTACTTGCGGTATAAAATTTTTCATTGCTTTTGTTGTCATTCTTGTCTTATTTTGATATGTATTATCTTGTAGGTGGCTATCCTTTTCCATGACCATCATGATTTGCTTGTTGAGTTCACTCATTTCTTCCCTCAGTAGTTTGGACTACTTTTTTTGTTTGGTTTTTTGTAATTCTTATGAGTGAAAGTGAGAAATTGGAGAGGTCGAACCCTCACATAAGGGATACCGTTTCTCTTAATATTGAACAATAACACAATAACCGCAAAAAATAGCAAAACACCTAATACAAATATTTTCGGCTTGGTTTGGTGATCTCTTTTCGGTTAACTTGGTTGAACTCTTTATGTGCGTATCAATATCCACCACCTGGAAGATTATATACAGTTAAAAATTAATAACAATCAGGTAACAAAATTCACAACAAAATGGTCAAAGTATTTTCTTTTTTTATATTCATTTTTTGCAAAATTGGGAACTATTAATATATACCAATAAATCTACTAATAATTATATTTTTAGAGTAAGGTGCTGGAATACATATCATGAAAATCAGGTAAGGAAAGGTGCTAGAATACATATCATGAAAATCAGGTAAGGACTTAAATTTTCTTATCTAAAATTTGGTTACCTTTTTTCTTTTGTTTTCTTATTCTCTATTATTTTTTTTCTTTTTAACTCTTCTCAACTCCTCTTGTCTATCTTTGTGGGAATTCTTTAATTCTCTTCTCGTCCTTTGTGTGAGGTAAGGAGAACCTTTTCCCTCTAGATGACTTAGGTCTAGGCAAGAATTTATAATTTCACGATGAGCTTCTCTAGTTTTATCTTATCATTCTTGAGTGTCTTATGTTTATATTATGAAATAACACGTGGATGAAGCAAGGTTCAAATTTTCTGGTTGGTAGCTTCGAAATGCAATGCAATTTCCTATGATTATTCTCCGGTTATTAGATCTGATGCTTGGTTGTTTTCGTCAGAGTTTTGGGATGATTTTCGAGTTTGTTTACTTGATAATATAGGTTTTGAAGTGTCTTGCGATTCATTTACATTGATGTATTTTCTCTTTTCTGAATAATTAATGAAATTCTAGGCAATTTTCAAATCATGGTCACAACGAGGCTAACTATGATAGATGCACATGAATACATCTGTACTGTGAAGGATACATTTCAGGACAATCGTGAAATGTATGATACATTTCTGATGGTCATGAAGGACTTCAGAACTACTAGGTATACTCTATGTGTTAACGATTTGATTATCCTCTTAAGCTTGTTCCATTTCAGTCCACAATCCACATAATAACTACTCTTATGATTAGTGACAGTCTTGCCATAGCAAAGGTTAAAGACCTCTTCAAGGGACACCGTGAGCTGATTTTGGGTTTCAATAAATTCATGCCTGAAGATTACAAAATAACATTCGAGAGTGACGAACAACATGAAAAACCTCCAGTAAAATTTGTAGAAGCTATTGATTTTGTAAAGAAGGTCAAGGTAAGGACACTCTTCCATTGTAGAAAACGGGGATGGACAATTGGATTAACAATTTGATTTGATTTATTTATTTATTCTATCAAGCTTTTGAAATTAAAAACAAATAGCACAATTTTGTATTCTAGTCCTACTATATTGTTTTTTTTTCTTTTTTTTTTTGCCATTTTGCTCTTAAATATCGTTTATCTGTAGGCAACGTTACAAAACGATCATGCTTTCGGGTCTTTCTTGGAGATAATGCAAATGTTTCGTCAAAACAAGAAGAGTGCTGATGAGGTCTACCATGAGGTAATATATATGTGTGTGTAAACTTATATTTTTTTCAGCTTTCTCTTATTTAGTTTAATGATTACATACATTAATATATATGCAGGTGTGTGATGGCCTTTTCCGAGACCAACCTGAGTTACGTGTGGAATTTACTTACTTTCTCCCTCGTCGTGAAATGGGGTGGAAGTGCAATTTGAATAAACTGGGATAATAAGTTATGTATGCAATAAAGCCATGTTGTAATCACTAGTTTGTTGTTGAACTAGTACAACTGGTAAATCTTTTTGTTTATGTAACTCATCGCAGCTAAGTTTCATCTTTTGAACAGCATAATATGGACAACATAAAATTTCTTTTTTTTTTGTCAACAAATTTTTCTTTTTGGTGCAACAACAACATACAAGTAATTATCAATTTTCTAATACAATTGTGCTCAACACACAAAGTCCATTACAAAAAAATGGATTCGTCTACAATCTAGTTAAATATATAATAATTATTCGTATATTAGATAATAAATAAAAAAATATAGTTTCAATGTCTAAAAAATTATTGTATTTGATTTTTTTCTTTTATTTTATATATAAATGTATTTGCGAATTTTCATGTATGAGTTAATGTGTAATACTGATTAAGTTCTTCATGAATATTGTCCTAAATATCTTGTTTTTTTTAAATAGTTGGATGCTGTCACAAAAATGTTTAAAACAGTTGAATCTTTCTTAATATATGATATAATGTTTTGATTCTTTTTTAATATTTTGCTAAATTATTCAAACCAGGAAAACTATTTTACAACTTGTGCAACTATTTTTGATTATATCTAAAATATATTAAAGAAGAAACATTGAAGGTCATTTTTGCTTAAGTATCATCATCACATTAATTTTTAACTTTTTTAATTGAGAGAATTACTTAAAATGACCTAAAAGTTGGATTTTTTAAATGTATAAACATCATATTGTATATTTAGCAAAACTAATTCAAATTGGTAGTAAAATTATAGCTCAGTTATTTATGACTAAACAAAAAACGTTCGCCACAATTACTATTTTATTATTGGAACGTCTACTTATGGAGTCTACTATTATAGACTACTAAAGAAGTCTACTGGTAAATAATTCTACTCCGTAATTACTTTCAAAATTCTAATTACAAAAATTATAAAAAAAAAAATTTAAAAATATTACTAAAACATAGACAATTGGCATCTATATACAATAAAATTTCATGAAAACAAATAAATTTATAAGTTTCATAAATATAAGGTTCAAAAGGGTTAGGGTTTAAGGTTCAAAAGGGTTAGAGTTTGAGGTTTAAAGTTTAGAGTATAAAAATGTAATTGTTAGGGTAAACACAAATTCTATATGAATCATGGTTTATGGTTTGGTTAATGATTTAGGGTCCATATATATGTTATTTTAAAAGTAAATTGTTATTATGGTAACAAAATTAATGTTTGATATAATTTTAATCAAAAATATTCGATTTAGGGTTTAGGATTAAGAAGACTTCATTAGAAGACTTCGTGTATAGACTTCAAAAGAAGTTGATATGCTCAAATTATCCATTGGGCTACTCTCTTAAATTAAGAGATCACTATAGTACTTAGGGGTCGAATCCACAAAGACTTAGATTATTGCACAATAAATTTCAGGTTCAAATCAAGCTAAGAAAAAACTAAATGAATGTAATGCAAGTAATAAAAAGAAAGCAGCAAATTGATTGGGAGGTTTTAAATCAAAGAGAGAGATACTAAGCCTTGGGAAATTTGCAGGTGAATCCGAATTGCAAAACTAGACAAAATGTTAGGAGTTTATTAAGCATTGTTCTTGAACTTGAAACACTAATATAAAATCAATCAACTTCCGCTGCAGAGATTATCTATGTCTAAATCCTAGAATCCCAAATTCTTTTGCAAATCCTATCAATTCAAACAAGCAATAAAATCAGGTTCAATTGTTCACAAAATCCTAAACCAAATTCCTTTGCAGATAGGAATTTTGCTCATCTAAGATTAGTTCTGGTGATTAACAATATTTCCGCATCTATTAATCAACCTAATATCATATTCTAGATCATGAAGCTATAATAAACAATAAACACAAATCAAGATGAAGAACTCTAATGATTTTATCCTAACAATTCAATTCAACCTAGCAATTCATCATCACCTTTGAAAAACCCTAAACCTAACAAGCAAACTACTCAGACATGATCAATGAAACACAAATCATAATTTGAATAGAAAGCATAAGAGAAATTAATAGAAGAAATAAGGGAGTTTAAAATCCTCTCTAAGGAGAATGATTTATCTCTCCAAAAACTCTCTAAAAATCTCTCTATAAATCTCTCTGTAAAAAAAATAAAACTTAGGTTTAAACAATGACCATAAAAAATCTTTTATAGACACAAAACACGATTTAAGGCGAAATTGCAAATATATAAAACTTCTGGACGAACATGTAAGTCTTCAGAAATCTTTAAAAACTCGGCAAGATTTGTGCACTTTTGGTGTCGATCGACACCAAGACCCTAGTGTCGATCGACACAGGATTTGTACGCGCACTGCACAATTTCTGCTCGACAATGTACAACTTTTGCACGACTTGATTTCTTCAGCAACATCTTCTGTTTTGCTTCAGAATGCTCCAATATCTCCAAATAAGCTCCAAACATATCCAAACCTGTAAAGACACAAAAATACTTGAAAAATACAAAAAAAGACTCTATAAACAAGACTTATCATGGTCAAAAACCCATAAAAACCATAATATATCAGATTAAACATAGCAGGAACCAGATTTAACCAGACTGGATTTGTTGGTAATTGAACAATTTCACTGGCTATGTAGACTTCTTTGGAAGACTTCTTTTGTAAACTTCAAAAGAAGTCTAAAATTTAAATTAAACCTAGCAGGAATTTAATTTTTTTTTTAACTAAATGGGCGCGAACCAGACTTTCAAAGTAGACTTCTCTCAAATGGACTTATATTACACATCAGACTTCGTTTGTAGACTTTAAAAAGAAGTCTGCTTAACCGAAAATTTTTCTGCATATATAAAGAGAGTTTAACCTAATTGTGTTAAAAATAAAGTCTCTCTCTCTCTCTCTCTCTCTCTCTCTCTCTCTCTCTCTCTCTCTCTCTCTCTCTCTCTCTATCTCTCTCTTTCTCTCTCTCTCTCTCTCTCTCTCTCTCTCTCTCTCTCTCTCTATCTCTCTATCTCTCTATCTCTCTATCTCTCATCTCCCTCGTCTTTGGCCATGAGTCTCTTCTTCTTCTTCCCTCGGTCGTCAATCTCATCTCCATCCTCTCTATCTCGCCTTCAACCTTCTGGCACTTGCCGGTTGTGGCGGTGGTAAGAAAATCTGACCTTTTGTGTTCCTCTTTTTGTTTGGTTTGTGTTCATATTGCAAATCTGAGCTTATTATTACAGACTTATGGTTATTGTTGTAGATATGAGTTTATTTTTGCAATCTGAGATTATTATTGTACAAATTTTGTAGATTTTGTTGCAGATCTGAATTTTGTTGCAGATCAGAATTTTTTGTTGTTGTTGCAGAGCTGAATTTTGTAAATATAGTAGATTTTGTTGCAAATCTGAATTTTAACGTTTTTTTTTTCTTATTGTTGCAGATCTGAGCTTATTCATATTTCTGATTTTGTTCTACAGATCTCAACAATGCTCTTGCTTGACTCCGCCGGATTTAAGTGATTTTAAGGTTCAAAGCGGTAATTATAACGGTACCATTGGTCAGAATGAGACTTCAGTCACAAACTTCAGCCGCATACTTCTCCAGCAGATTTCAGTCGTAAACTTCTTGAGCAGACTTAACTTTGAGACATCTTTTTCAGGAATTTTAGTTTAAGATTGATTTCCTATGCCAATTTTAAGATTTAGAATCACTCACCCTTAAATGTTTTTTTTTAAAGTCTACTTTATATGTAATGTTAGATTGCATTGAATGATTTGTATTGTATTCCTAAATTATGTGTCTTAATGTATTCTGAAAAATAGACTTCACTGCTAGACTTCATATGCTGACTTCGTATGCAGACTTCTTAACCCATATGTAAGAATAGTACAAGACTTTGTATGCAAACTTCTTTGTCAGACTTTATATGAAGACTTCTCAATTAAAATTCTCTAGTAGACTTTACAAGTATACTTATATTACATAACATAGGGTTTACCTCAATAAGTATATATTACATAATAGACTTCTTATATGGACTTTTGAAATGAACTTCTTACTCAGACATCTTCCTTGACAGCTTACTCATTCATCACTGTACTTCTTGTTTGACATCTTATAACTTAGTCATCAACATCCTTGAACTCCTAATAAAAAGAGATTAATTAAATTTTAACTATAAGAAATAAACATGTAAAACTCATACATAAGCAAGATCAATAATTAACACAAACTCTTAAAAATAACACTAGACACATTTTTCTCCCACGATACGTTAGTCTTTCTACCATAATTCACCACTCTAAATCTATCACCACTTGGTGATTTACGTATTCCTTAGAAATCAATGTCTTCTAAGTAGGCTTCACCTGTGCTACAAATAAGCTACTATAAATTTTATTTGTTACAAATGTTTTATCAAAGAATTTTATAAAACAATTAAAGTCGCAGACTTCAAACAAAGTCTACTAACTTGAGTTCACCTGAACTCTGCTACTGATAAGCTGAACTCTCTCTCTCTCTCTCTCTCTCTCTCTCTCTCTCTCTCTCTCTCTCTCTCTCTCTCTCTCTCTCTCTCTCTCTCTCTCTCTCTCTCCTCTCCCTCCTCTTTGGCCATGAGTCTCTTCTCCTTCCTTCCTCGGTCGTCAATCTCATCTCCATCCTCTCTATCTTGCCTTCAACCTTTTGGCACTTGCCGGTTGTGGCAGTGGTAAGAAAATCTTAGCTTTTGTGTTCCTCTTTTTGTTTGGTTTGTGTTCATATTACAAACCTGAGCTTATTATTACAGACTTATGGTTATGGTTGTAGATATGAGTTTATTTTTGCAATCTGAGATTATTGTTGTACAAATTTTGTCGATTTTGTTGCAGATCTGAATTTTGTTGCAGATCAGAATTTTTTGTTATTGTTACAGAGCTGTAAATATAGTAGATTTTGTTGCAAATCTGAATTTTAACGTTTCTCTTTTCTTACTGTTGCAGATCTGAGCTTATTCATATTTCTGGTTTTGTTCT